CCCAGCTACTCCAAGAACCTACCGACCGAGCCACTGCAAGCACCTAAAGACCGAGGCACCCCAAGCACCTACCCACCGAGCCACTCAAAGCACCTTCCGACCGAGCCACTGCAAGCACCTACAAAGCGAGCCACTCCAAGCACCTACCGACCGAGCCACTCCAAGCAACTACTGACTAAGGCACTCAAAACACCTATACCGACCGAGGCACTCCAAACACCCACCGACTGAGGCATTCTAAACACCTATTGACCGAGCCACTCCAAACACCTACTGACCAAACTACTCCAAGCAACTACCAACTGAGTCACTCCAAGCAACTACCGACTAAGTTATTCCAAACACCTACCGACCGTGCTACTCCAAGCACCTACGGACCGAGTCACTGCAAGCATCTACTGATCGAGGCACTCCAAGCACCCACCGACCGAGCCACTCCAAGCACCCACCAACCGAGGCACTGTAAGCATAAATGTCTACACGCACCAATCGACCGAGGCACTCCAAACACCTACCGACCGAGGCACTCCAAGCCCCTACCGACCGAGCCACTGCAAGCACCTATACCGACTGCAAGCACCTACCGACCTAGCCACTCTAAGCATAAATGTTTACACGCACATACCCACCGAGGCACTCCAAGCACCTATACCCTGCCTACCCTGTGCGCGTTTTGTGTGTGGTGAAGCAACATATGGATCCAAGTGCAATGAGAAGCCCCCCGTGTACCCTATTAAAGCACTAGTACCTTTCCCGCGTGGGAAAATAGGGAAAACTGACAATTTTTCCAAACTCCTGAATCTTCGGAGGTCGGGTCCGACGACGACTACCTTTGATAAATCCGATCGGCGGCCATCATGTCGATTCAGCCTCTGGAAAGGTCGGACGCCTACCCGAGGCCCGCTATTTTCCCAGGTGGGAAAGGTACTGGTGGTTTAAAGAAAAAAAAAATAAAAAAAATTCTCGACTATTCGCTACCAAAAAAATAAAATTAATGCCCACTTCTTAGCTGCCGGAGTGCGGGTTTCGTGTGTGGTGAAGCATGAAGTGGATCGAAGTCCGAGTTGGCGGGGGGGGGTGCAGGGGGGGGAGGGCAACTTGAAAAAAACAACAACATATATTCCTCAGTATATATTGAAAAAAACAAAAACATTCACGTGCACTTCTTAGCGGCCCGGTGTGGGTTTTATGTGTGGTGAAACAAGATATGGATCCAAGTGCAACGAGAAACCCCTCGCCTACCCTATTAAAGAAAAAAAAAAAATAATAATATTCTCGACTATTCGCTACCAAAAAAATAAAATTCATGCGCACTTCTTAGCTGCGAGAGTGCGGGTTTCATATGTCGTGAAGCATGAAGTGGATCAAAGTCCGAGTTGGGGGGAGGGGGTGCGGCGCAACTTGAAAAAAAAAAAAAACATATATTCCTCATTATATATTGAAAAAAACAAAAACATTCACGTGCACTTATTCGACTGTTTTTTTTTTTTTTTGCATTCTTCTTTTTTAACTCCTCTGTCTCTCTGTATCTGTATCTCTCCATCTCTCTCTCCCTCCTTTCTCCCTCTCTCTCTCCCTTTCTCTATGTCTCTATCCATCTTCCATTTCTTGAATTCGTTAATTGTGCTCAAATTTTGCAGTTGGTTTTGACCTAACTTTTTTTTTTTTTTTTTTTGCGGGCATTGATTGCACCGCCTGCACCGCGGGCGTCCCATATGGAAATTTACATAGAATTTTGAAAGTTTGAGATATCGGGGCCATTACCCGGCTTTGGCTAAGGAAAAATTGAGCTACTTAGAAATTACTACGACGAACTTCAGAAATAGGCAAAATTTCGTAATTAGTGGAAGGAGGGGGGGACGCGTTACCGTAACGCTGCGCTAACGCGCCACCCCAGTGGCAGTGTTCGGCGTTGGGGGATCGCTCATGGGGCCGACAACATCTGTCTGCTTCGATTGCCAAAACTTAGCGCCGGCGGGACCATGGCGTCGCAGGGAAGAACACAGGGGTGTTAGGGGGGCGTGCCGAGGGAGCTGCGATATGCTCCTGGTCGTTGCTGGTCTCACTTGACTTCTGTCAGGAATCCTGGTTCGGTGGAGGAAGGAGAGCGCGATACGTGGGGGCCATCGGCGGGTGGGATCCGAACGCTGCACCATACCTGACGAGACCGATCGGGGGCGCTGACTCCTCGATCTTCGATACGGAGGTTTTTGCGGGGGTCTCCTACCCTGACACTGCTGCCAGGGCTAGCCCGCAAAGGAGAGGAAGACAG